TCTCTCTCTCTCTCTCTCTCTCTCTCTCTCTCTCTCTCTCTCTCTCTTTCTCTCTTTTTATCTTTATTTCTGTTGCTCTTTGTGCTTAAAGCGTAATTAAATATAAAAAAAGCTTTGATTGCGCTTAGCACAAGTCGCGTTAATTTTAATTGCAATTGTTTTATTATTATTTATTTATTTATTTATTTATTTATTAAACTAGCCGGTAAAAAACAATAAGCCGCTGATTCTTCTCTTTCATCGAGTGCTTGGCTGGCTGGGTTGGCTGACGTCTGTTTATATGCCTATATATATATGTATATATATATATGTATACGTACAGGAAATATATGTACATATATGTATATCTACATATATACGTATATATCTATATATCTATTTATATATATATATGTTTATGTATATATATATATATATATATATATATATATATATATATATATATATATATATATATGCTTTTATATATATATATGCTTTTATATCTGTCTCTTCTTTTCTCCTTTTTTCCTTCCTTCCTCTGATTAGTAATTTTTCCCAAAAAGCGTAAAGAGTTTTTGTTTCTGTTTTTAAGTAGAATAAAGTCCTTCGCCTTCCGCTTATTTACTGGTTTGCTTGCTTACGTAGTTTTAGATCTCTTATCATAGATCGTAAATAATAAGATTTAAGAAAAAGAAAATTTTATTTAATTTTAAAGTACGTTAAAAAGGAGTAAATTTTACTAATGATGTGGATGTCGCGGAGTTTTCTTCTCTTTTTTTTTCTTCTTTTAGTTATTTATTTATTATTATTATTATTATTATTTTTTTTTTTTTAATAATTTTTTTCTTTTTTTTTATAAAATTGCAAAAATGCAAAAAGTTAGCTTAAATTATTTGACTAATTAATTTTTATAAATTTCTCTCTCTGGTTGTTCTTGTTGTTGTCATTAATTTTTATTTATATTTGTGAATTTTATTTTATTTTACTTTTTGTAATTATTTTATGGAACATTGAGTTTTTGTTTTTGTGATAATTTTTTTTAAAATTGTTGTTCTATTTCGTAATAAATTATTTGCAATATTTTTATTTTTTTTTTTTTTTGTTGTTGGTGTATAAATTTTTATTTTAATGATTAGATTCGTTTCTTTGTTATCTCTGTAATAGTTGGTTTTCTTTGGTGGTGTTGATTTGCACAGTTTTTATTTATTATAATAATTATTATTATTTCTTTTATATATTTAATGAATTATTTATTTTCGATTTATATCTCACTTGGTGTACTTTTAATAGCTGCTCAATTGCTTAGATCAATGCTTTTGTCAGAATCTGCAAAGAAAAGGAATCATTAAGTAACAAATTTTTATTCTCGCCACAGATAACAAATGCCATAAAGTATCTCATTCGTTTAATCGCTTCAAATGAGCGAAATAAATTTAGTTAATTACACGATTTTAGAGTCGAAATTTTATCTAAAGTAATATGAGCTCATGGGTCCAGTCAAACCAAACAAAATCGGACTTCTTTCCGCTGTTTTCTAAGCGATGAGATCATCGTTTAAACCCTTACGATGGATTTTGTCTGCCTATCATCATTAAAATTGATCTAATACATAGTACATAAACGATGGGTTTATTCTTTTTCTTCTTCTACAAGGTAGCAAATCGCATACAATATTAGATTTTCAAATATGTACGATATTTGATATATATATATGAAACGATACTTGAATAAAGGAATGAGTCTTGGCCCTATCTATGTCGCATATAAACCAACGGCCTGTAGCTTAAGCTAAAGATTGTATTTTCTGTATCCTACACGGCTCATCGTACAGTGTATATTAAATTTGACACCCGGAAGAGCTTGAGATAGGTCCACCTTTTATTATACCAACCAATCCAGAAACATCTAAAATTGTTTGCCCGTTTGTTCGTCTGATATCTGTTCATGTCGCAAATTTTCACACATTTGAATAAAATTAGGTACACTGACGTGCACGGATCTATGGACGAAGGCTATTGAAAATGTTTCGGGTTAGTACACTTTTTAAAAATTCGTTGGAAACACACAAATTTATTTCTTGGACCACACTCCATATAAGATTTCCCATGAGTATTAAATCCTTCAAAAAGAGATAAATTAAAGAGATGATAAAGTAGTGCGAGTCAATACTGTACACAACTGTTAAATTCGTTATCGTCGATGTATCCAGTGTATATAGATGCATTCATTGCTTTTGTTGTTTGATTTAAAGAAATTTTCTCTTAGAGGCTTATGCCGGTTTTAGTTGTCGGTTTTAGTTTCAACGCCAGTGCATGCCAGTGACAAAGGACGACATAGAGGACAAAAAACTTCCAAGGCAATGAATTACAAGACTTATGGTACGAAAACCCAAACCAAATTCTAAAAAAAAAACAAGCAAGTCTACTATGGCAATTTGAAACGTAAAAAGTCATAGGTTAGTGCAGCGGAGCCGTCCATATCGACACCGAAGCAGAATATTGATGGCTAGCAAGACCATTACATATCCTACCCCACTTCGTCTAGTGCAATTATTCACTCGTTTCGGTAATAATACTCCAAAAAGTACACGTTATTTTCGGACAAAGCCATAATTGTTATGAACACCCGCATATTAAAAGTTTCGACTCAATTATAATAATTATTTCGAAGCACAGTCATATGCCAAGCAAACGGATCGACTAGCATGTCTATCCGGACATAGGACAACCAGAATTTGCCGGCTCGTCTTATTGGACAGACATATAAGTATGTACTTTCTATGGTCGCGTATTTTCAAGCGGCACACATATCTTTAACGAATCGAATATATCCGCTGCAGTAGCCGAGTAAAGAATATCGAATCTATATGATCTTACATACTTACATATATTTGCAAATATACATAGATAAAAGTGTAGCGTGACCATTTTTGAAAATTTTAATCTATTCTCTAAGTGTTTAACACACAAACATAAAAATAAGTCAATAAAATTACTATTGAGTTCATTATTCCTTTCATTCGTCGTCTTGCGAAATTATCACATTTTTTCTTTCAAATTTCTTCCCTCTCTTATTATCAATCCAACCACTAACTAGAACTTTTATTTAATAAAATTATATTTACTCTCCCCCTTAGCTCTCCCTGTCGTTTACTTATACATATCTACGCAAACATTTTTATACATAATTTATTTATATTTGCCTAATGTAAGCCTATGCCTTACGCACCCTATACTCATTGCATAGTTTAGATCTGCAATTTGTTAGTAACGTAAAAATATTTCAACCCTCTTGTCTGTATTTGCATATCAGCTGACGTTATTCCTATAAAGTCATAAATTTTCTTTTTAATGTGTTTTTTTTTTTTTTTTAAGATTTTTATAAAGGACGACAGTTAAGAATTTTTCTAGTGTGACTATCGTATTAACGCCATAGCAACGAGAAATGAGGGTTAGAAAAATGTAATTCAGTTGGAGTTCGTTATCATAATAAAAGGATAAAAGATATTTATTTTAAAGCTTGTAGAGTAATTTAAAAATTGCTCAGCTGATTATAAATATAATATAATTTAGCTGAGGATTTTATTAATTACATTTATTTATTTATATTATTTTTTTCCCTTTCATGTATTTAATTTTAATAAAATTTCCTTCTTTGTAAATCCGTTGTTGTCTAAAACATTCAGCGTTACCATTACAAGCTGCCTAAAATTCACATTTTCAAGATTAAGATGAAAAGACCTTTCCTTCAAGCTCACTCTGAGCTGAGAAAAACAAAACTTTTTATTACAATTGATTTTTACTATTATTTTGAGAAATTCTCTTAATAGAGGCTTGATGGTAAACGCCTTCTAAGATGTCAAAGTTTTAGTAAAATATTAGAAAACTGCCCAGGTTTCAGGATAGTGGGCGACATTTAACAATTACCGACACTGGATATAAAGTTTCTTGAAATCATAGCAAGTAAGTAGGATACTATACTACGGCACGGCACGATCCACAATTAAATACTCTACACTATTTGGTGCTTAGTACAGTTTTTTTTTTTTAAAACGATTGCTCAAAATACGTTCTTAAATGGGACGTAGTCGACAAAGTCGCCCGATCGAAACCATTTTCAATAGCGTTCGTCCTTGGAGCGAAAAATGTCGGTGTACAAAATTTCATTAAAATATCTCAAAAATTTTGAATTGTAGTTTCAGCAACGAGAAAGCAAGACAAACATACAGACGAACAAGCTTAGAATCACTTTCTGAATTGATCGGCATTATAAAAAGGTAGGTTTATTTCAAGCCCTTTTGAGCGTTGCACACATCCTCATATACTTGTCATATCCTTGTAGGGCATAAAGACGACTTGCTTTCTCCGTACGCGCATAGACCGAACGCTTTCGAAATTTATTAAAAAAGAAAATTTATTGTCTTCCATCGAGATAACTAATCAATAACTGCCATTCCTGCGGATGGATCAACTAATCAAACAGAAATATTTTAAATTAATATTTATTATCGCTGCCATCAGTCACTTGAATTTTAGATCAATAAAAGTCAATCAATATCGTTCAATAAGGCATCCTATGATACTCTCTCATTGCAACGGGCGATCTAGGAGCAATTTCGCCGTTAAATTGTCACTCGGTATCGTTAGAGAGATTGTGGCATAATCTTGATTATTTACGCAGTCGGGTAGATAGTTAGATAGTTAATCTCATCACTGATAATATTTTCATAACATCTAATTAGCGAGTATAGGGCGAATGTATCTAAAAAGTTTTGTCATTTTTACTTATGAAATATTATCGCAATTCCAGCAGTGTGTTGATAATTTAAAAATGCAACACATCTTGTTAAAGGAAGCTTCGTGAACAGATGTAAATAAATGTTTTAGAAACGAGAAGAAATTTATGTTGAAATTTTTAATTTTTAATAACAACAAAATTAAGCAAAATTAATAAATTTTTTAATTGCTCGCTGAAAACACCATACTATGACCTTTTCAAGAAAGATACATTAACAGCAACGTAATGCATAAAGTTCAACGTGTTCCTTTGTTTCTTCTTTCTCCTTTTGTTGAAAAAGTTAAATAATAGCTGTGCGAGTTCAATGACACGCACATAAAAAGCCGGTTACAAGCTCATACTAACCCATACTTATGCAAGTACGCGCATGCATATATACATATATATATATATATAGGTATATATATGTAAATATATAAACAAACTGAACAATAATACGAGTTATGCTCACTTTTAGCTTATAACCAGTGTGCATATGACTAGAAGAAGATAACGACGAAGGGAATGAATGTCTTACATTCGTGTTAAATAGATACCATGTCATGCAATGAAATGATGAAAAGGACACATTTATAGGTATAAGCGTAAATCTACACACACGCAACAATGTACAATATTTAAAATAGCACATGGCGTATGAAGAAGAAGTTAACGGCGAGACCGTAAAATTCCGATCCGAAGATCTTCTATTGCTTTGGATAGCAAAGCTACGAATATGAAGGATGGTAAAAGTTAGATGGAAAAGATTAGCAGTGTCACATTCATCTGTTATGGGGTAGAGAAAGCTTCTCTATCGAAAACGCATAAGGCATATGCTGCAGGACAAGATTAAACAAAAACTGAACAAATGCGATCAGGAGTAAGCAGCAAATAGGTCAAGATAAGTCGCCAAATACTTACAAATTGAAATTCTGGACAAGACACTTGACTTTTAGATTGATATAAGAAACAAGTTAAACGCCCTAAGCGATAATGCCCTAATTGCTACGACACGAAAGCTTTTGCTTCCTAATAAAAGTAATTATTATACGAAGGCACTTGAGCATTAAATGTTTTAGTTTTTCTTTCCTTTTTTTTTTTTTTTCATTTTTTTGCATTTTTTAATAAACATTTACAGATGATTGGTCTACGTCTTGTAATGATGGCCCGCAACTTTTGCCTTGCACTGTACAATGTACACAACTAGGCATTTGTATCTGTGTTTGTGTTTGTGCTTGCGTTTGTGCGAGTGTGTATGTATGTATGTATAAGTGTATCAAGATACTATAGAATAAAAGCTTACTTACACATATCCTGATGTGTGTTCATGCTTGAGTTTGCTGTTTATCATGTGTTTGTATTGCATGTACATGCACAAGGAGAGGACTTTGTAATTGACACTTTTAGCTGAATAATTCTGTTCATTTCTTTTTTTTTTTTTTTTTTTTTTTCTTTATTTTATATATAATTTGACCTCATTTTTATGCATTTTTCTACAAACAAACTCTAGAATTTCTATAGAATATAAGACAAGGGGTGAAAAATGGTTT